CTTTATTTTTGCAATATGGGTTAAAGTTGACCATAATCGGAACAAAACAATGATTTATTTTTATTTGAATTTTTAGGTAACTACCCTAGATTTCTACTTAACCTAAAGTCGTTACGGTATGCATAACATATAGTCTATGAAATTAAATATAGCCTAGCCCTATACTAACCTATCGTCTACAAAAACAAAATACAAACTACCCTATGCATGTGACATGGTCTCTTGAGTTGCGATGTCATTGTCAGCCGTACATGGGAGTCTTGCCTTTACTTGGAAAATAAGAGTAACACATGGCTTAAGTATTTTAAGAAATACTTAGTAAAGTGACCCCACTATTGAGGTTAGATGCAAGCACACACAATCATGAATTTGAAAGAAATACTTAGTAAAGTGACCCCACTATTGAGGTTAGATGCAAGCACACACAATCATGAATTTGACCTATCATTTAAATCTGTATTCCCTTAGCCGACTATCCTAAGCGGGTAATGAGATGTATGTTTACTATTCTATACACGGCTCACACGTGATTGTGTGTGCTTGCATCTACCTCAATAGTAAGGTCACTTAATGAGTATTTCTTAAAATACTCAAGTTATGTGTTACTCTTATTTTTCAAGTAAAAGCAAGACTCCCATGTACGGCTGACAGTGGCATCGCAACTCTGTGTTACTCTTATTTTTCAAGTAAAAGCAAGACTCCCATGTACGGCTGACAGTGGCATCGCAACTCGGGAAACCATGTCACATGCATAGGGTAGTTTGCATTTTATTTTTGTAGACTATAAGTTAGTATAGGGCTAGGTTGCATTTAATTTGTCGACTATAAGTTAGTATAGGGCATTTATGTTTTATTTTACTTATGTTCTTTTGACTCATGTTAAAGTGTTTTAAGGACCTTTCAATAAACATGTAAGTTCGTAGCAATGTTTTTATGATAAAATTTTAAATGATTATTTCAGCCTAAAATGATAGGTATACCGTAACGACTTTAGGATAAGTAGAAAACTAGGTCGTTACATTTTCCTCGAACAATGCATTCTCATCCATTTCAGAAGATGAAGAGTTTAAAGAAGAACATGAACTTAGGAAATAGCAACAAAGGGTAAAATTTTGACCTGTTGAGTACTTATTGAAACAGGCAATGCCGAGGCCGCTGTTGCTTTTGAACCCACAAAGCCTGCCTTCTGTTTCGCAGATACTGCAAGCAGGGCTATTCCAAGTTAGCAGGAGATCACCATAGTGGTCGGTTAGAAACTGATTGGCCTCATCTGGGTACGCAACTGGGACAGTTAAATTAGCCATGATCCTGCAAGAGTTTGACTTTGACATTGACCTGACATAACTCATGGAAGAAGTAGCCACAACCGAGCTGGTGGAGTTGCTAAGGCAGCTAAGGACAGGAAATCGGGATGTTGCAAATTGAGGTTGACAGCTTAGGAAGGTGAAATTCTTACTAAAAGGGAGCAGAAATGGAGAATTTGAGAGATCGAAGTTGAAGCCTTGAAGAAGAAGCCTTTTAGGAAGGCAAACATCTGGATCATAGAGCTGTATCTGCGAAGTTGAAGCCTTGAAGAAGAAGCCTTTTAGGAAGGCAAACATCTGGATCATAGAGCTGTATCTGTTGAGCAACATAATCAATGTTTCTTACCAAAAATTGTTCTGAAGACGATAGATTTAGAGTCGACACACCCACGTCGTTGCAGGCTAAGTTGAAACCAGGATAGCCACATCTTGCAGGTTGCAGCTCAGGAATTCGGAACGGGAATCGGATGCCGAAGTTGTCCTTCATACACTTGGAAAGCAGGTTGCAGCTCAGGAATTCGGAACGGGAATCGGATGCCGAAGTTGTCCTTCATACACTTGGAAATAGAGCAACTTTGAGCTGTGGATAAAGTGGGGAGGATGAAGAGGAAGAAGAGGAGAAAGATATGTGAGAAATCCATAAGCTTTGCCAGAAGGAAAATTTTTGTAACTTGAAGTAGTTCATATTTATGTATGTGAGAAATCCATAAGCTTTGCCAGAAGGAAAATTTTTGTAACTTGAAGTAGTTCATATTTATGTTATTGACTTCATCATTTTATTCTAAAGTCAGAAGCTTTGAAAGTTCTATAATGGTTGGTTTGACATTCTTTGGCTGTGGATGCCATAGTTTTAATATTCATGAGAGAGCTACAGAAATTTATTAAGAAATTTCAATTTGATATAAACTATCAAACTCTCTTTCTGTATTTTTGTGCTTATTTAATTCATCTTCAAACTATATTATAATCCATAGACTTTATTATAAAAAGTTCAAAAACAAATTTGGTAGACTTCAGAAATTGTTTACGAGATTTTATCATAGCCATAAGGATGGAATTCTAAAATTTTTACGTAATCATAGAGACCAAATAAATTTATAATTGAACATGATCAATCTCACATGCAAGTAATTTGAATCGTAAAGCTTGAATGGAATCTTTTAAAAAAAATCTTGGTCATTAATAATATCATATTGTGTATCAACTCAAGCCTATCACCTACCACTAGTATATATTGCATTTTTGGACTTTCTCAGCTTCTCCTTAAGGTTTTAAAAGGTTAGAGGGTTTTAAAAGGTTATAGAGAGGTTTCCACATTCTTACAAGAATGTTTTCTCCCCTCTCCAACCGATGTGGGATCTCACAATCCACCCCCCTGGGAGGCCCACAATCCACCCCCTTAGAGGCGCCATTATAGGGACACATTCTTACAGGGAATGTTTCGTCCTCCTCTCCAACCGATGTGGGATCTCACAAACCACCTCCCTTGGAGGCCAGGGTCCTCGATGACACACCGCCTAATGATTGACTCTGATACCATTTGTAACATCTCAAATTTACTGCAAGCAGATCTTATCATCCTCAAAGTTTTAAAATACATTCGTTAGAGAAAGGTAATAAATAAATTTATATACCTAAACTTGTGGGTTATATAGATTATAAACTTTCTAAATAAATAAATTTATATTATTACCAAGGATTAGAGGATAAAATCACAATTAAAAGTTGAGAAATAAAGTAACGAAATTTAACTAAAACACTGAACAATTTAGAGATAAAATCAACAGAGCCATCAAGATTTAGCCATTGACCGACGACACGAACGGCGAAACTACTGCTTCTTTGACATGNAGAGCTACAGAAATTTATTAAGAAATTTCAATTTGATATAAACTATCAAACTCTCTTTCTGTATTTTTGTGCTTATTTAATTCATCTTCAAACTATATTATAATCCATAGACTTTATTATAAAAAGTTCAAAAACAAATTTGGTAGACTTCAGAAATTGTTTACGAGATTTTATCATAGCCATAAGGATGGAATTCTAAAATTTTTACGTAATCATAGAGACCAAATAAATTTATAATTGAACATGATCAATCTCACATGCAAGTAATTTGAATCGTAAAGCTTGAATGGAATCTTTTAAAAAAAATCTTGGTCATTAATAATATCATATTGTGTATCAACTCAAGCCTATCACCTACCACTAGTATATATTGCATTTTTGGACTTTCTCAGCTTCTCCTTAAGGTTTTAAAAGGTTAGAGGGTTTTAAAAGGTTATAGAGAGGTTTCCACATTCTTACAAGAATGTTTTCTCCCCTCTCCAACCGATGTGGGATCTCACAATCCACCCCCCTGGGAGGCCCACAATCCACCCCCTTAGAGGCGCCATTATAGGGACACATTCTTACAGGGAATGTTTCGTCCTCCTCTCCAACCGATGTGGGATCTCACAAACCACCTCCCTTGGAGGCCAGGGTCCTCGGTTTCGTCCTCCTCTCCAACCGATGTGGGATCTCACAAACCACCTCCCTTGGAGGCCAGGGTCCTCGATGACACACCGCCTAATGATTGACTCTGATACCATTTGTAACATCTCAAATTTACTGCAAGCAGATCTTATCATCCTCAAAGTTTTAAAATACATTCGTTAGAGAAAGGTAATAAATAAATTTATATACCTAAACTTGTGGGTTATATAGATTATAAACTTTCTAAATAAATAAATTTATATTATTACCAAGGATTAGAGGATAAAATCACAATTAAAAGTTGAGAAATAAAGTAACGAAATTTAACTAAAACACTGAACAATTTAGAGATAAAATCAACAGAGCCATCAAGATTTAGCCATTGACCGACGACACGAACGGCGAAACTACTGCTTCTTTGACATGCAAGACCATGCAGACGTAAAAGAAAGTTTCATTATGAATGATACCTGCACATAGCAAGTTGTTCACAGTTTAGCTTCTTAATCAGAGCCCTCCATTTCAAGTCTTAGTGAATCACAAAGGTAGAGTAGAGATTTGAACCTAGCAGTTACTTAAAAGTACAGTAGAGATCTGACAGATTCTGGACTAAATTTTAAGAATATGCAAGCCTCTGTCCATCAAACCAAATGAATCAATGGCATGTATTTAAAACTAGATCCAAGATCACCAGTTTCAAAGTAAAAACATCAAAGGTAGCAGAAGAAGGCAGCAAACTATTTCACAAGAATGCAAATTTACAGAGTGGAAAGCTGACTGCTAGGTTATATTAATAGTAGGGGAATGCACAATGGTACCGATGGGCATTTGGGAGCAAGTCTATGATGAAGAAGCTTCTGTTTATTGTTTGTCCTTGGGACTCAAGGAGGGCTCCAGTACAAGATCTCCTACTCCTCTTGGTGGCCCAATGCTGCAACGAGCTGTGTTGTGCATTTTAATTGCATCTTTAATTTTCTGGAACTGGGGGAAGGAGAAAGGTTAGATAGAGTAAGTAGAATGATGGTATTCCTTCATTAATTTTCTGGAACTGGGGGAAGGAGAAAGGTTAGATAGAGTAAGTAGAATGATGGTATTCCTTCATATATTGATAATCAATGCCTGCCATGGGATCAAACACTTGGTATAGTTCTCCAAATTTGGGATAAGGGAAGTTTTCAGTTCATATTAGATCCACATCAATCCTTCCAGCACATTCACATCGATGACTCGAAAATTGTAACATTTCAAGCCCACCGCTAGCATATATTGTACTCTTTGGATTTTCCTTTTGGGCTCTCAAGGTTTTAAAATACGTCTACTAGAGAGAGGTTTCCACACCCTTTTAATAAATGTTTCGTTTCCCTCTCTAACCTATGTGGGATCTCACAATCCACCCCTTCGGGGTCCCAGTGTCCTCGCTGGCACACCGTCCGGTGTCTAGCTCTGATACCATTTGTAACAGCTCAAGCCCACTACTAGCAAATATTGTCTTCTTTGAGCTTCTCCTTATGGGCTTCCCCTCAAAGTTTTAAAACGAGTTACTAGGGAGAGGTTTTCACACCTTTATAAGGAATGTTTAGTTCTCTCTCCAACCAATGTGGGATCTCACAAAAATCTATTTATATTTTAACATGCCTGGTGCTTGTTATAAGCTAAACCAATAAAATAGTATGAATTGTTTACATATGAGATGGGGGATGGGGAGGGAGGAGGATGCTAACCTTTGCGAGTGAGCATGAGAAGGACTCCAATTGTCCATCAGCGATGGGGAGGGAGGAGGATGCTAACCTTTGCGAGTGAGCATGAGAAGGACTCCAATTGTCCATCAGCTCCACGATAAAAATGGAAATAAGGAAGGACCTTGACATTCAAACTTTTGCACATTTGCTTGTTTTCATCAAAGTTGACTTTCAGGAATAAAATCTCAGGGTGCTCATCAGCTGTTCTGCATAGCTGACAGTTCCATTTCAACATATATACAAACGTCAAAACATAAAACAGGCGACTAAAATTTCTAATAAGAACAATAATTGCAAGGTCAGATTTTGCTGTAAAATGCCTTTCCTTTTTAGGAAACAACAAATGTTAAATCCAATGAATATCAATCATTTAATGTGGGAAGCATTCGCAAGAATTTCCGTGCAAATAAGAACTGCTCTGGAGCTTTCTTATTATAACCAAAGCGATAAATAATGACAGAACAGCTATGCAGCAGAAAACCAATAAAGGAACGCAGAGTATTTTGAGATTAGCAACTTGAGATATCAGATACTGAGCAGAGTTATGCTTCATACAGAACGCAGAGTATTTTGAGATTAGCAACTTGAGATATCAGATACTGAGCAGAGTTATGCTTCATACATTAATGCTTCCCTTTTAACCAATTGGCAAAGCTTTTTGTAATCACAGTGGACAAACCATCCTTTTAGTAAATTCCTACATCAATGAAATTATTTCATATAAAAAATATATATATTTGGCGCAGAGTTTTTGATTACCAATTTATTAAAGGATTGAGCAATTGTCTACAGTTCCAACCTCAGTAACATAGATAGGTAGAAACCTGCAAGGCATCTAAAAATACTGCAAAGTGTACTTTAAAGATTTTCATCTTGATAGCTAGCTAACAAATGCAGCAGTCATTTAATGCCTACTTGTTCAATAAGCTGGTCCTAATCGAGTTTCAGAAAATGCTCCATTGATGGAATCAAGCCTTATATCATGATACACTTAAAACAGACCAACATCACAATCTGAATGCTCCATTGATGGAATCAAGCCTTATATCATGATACACTTAAAACAGACCAACATCACAATCTGAAGAAATCTAAAGCATTGATGAAGAAAGTTACCCGGGGAAATAATGCCCTGCAAGAAGCACACCAGGTTCCGTAAAAATCTACAATAACTAATCTATCACCAGATTCACTCAATGCAGTTAAAAATTCCTGTGTCGAATGTATATCAATCATGTTTGGTGCACTCTTTTCCCACCATTTTGGCTGGTCTTTTTCAGCCACAGCTGCCGGTACCTGTGGCATCATAGAACAGTTTTTCCCACCATTTTGGCTGGTCTTTTTCAGCCACAGCTGCCGGTACCTGTGGCATCATAGAACAGTTTACAGGCGCCACGGGGAAAATGATTGACATCTATTTTGTTTGAGTAAGAAACATTTTTAAACAGATAATCATGTATAAAAGGAAAAGCGGGGAAAATAGTACAGCCTCCTGCCCTCAGAAAGCGAAGGAGAAATTACAAGAAGTTGTCATGTTTTCCACACAAGAAATTTACACATATGTAGTCTCAACGCTACAAACTGAATAATAAATTTGAGAGCTGCTCATTGCCTATGGGAGCTTGCAGGCATGCAATAGTCAATAAGGTAATCAAGAAGAGATTTGCATGTAAGGATGCTAGAACGAGCTTGCAGGCATGCAATAGTCAATAAGGTAATCAAGAAGAGATTTGCATGTAAGGATGCTAGAACTCTCCTACTTCCAGTATTTTGAATCAAAACTATGAGTTATATGAAAACCTTCCATGTTGTCAAGATGTAAGCCTACTAGTAATCTCTCTCGTTAAAAGAATTTTGAAATGTAAGGACTTTCTCCACAGGTTCTCTGCTCAGGCTTTTTAGAAACATCTAAAACAAGTCAGCTGAGCATAAAGTTAAGGAAAAGCATTATGAAAATTGAAGTTTCCTATCCAACCAAGCATCCTTTCAAAATCCAATTATACAATGGTTCTCAGCCATTAAGAAAGCTTCCAATCTCAGATAAATTTCACAGCTAGCAGTGAAAATCCAAAGGCAACAACTGTTAAGAGATATGTTTCCTATGAACAATCACATAGGACTTGCATCATATTTACTGGCGAGAATTCTGTGCCTAAAGGGTGCTGGCGTTCGACTACTTCTCTTCTCGTACCCCACTGCCATTTGGTAATCATGGCCATGCTTCTATTTCGAATTTTACCAGTCCCAAGAGCCTCATAACTCAATATGAAAATAAAGAACTCTCCAAGTAACAAGGTGTTCAGTCCCCTCGTTCATAACCAAAAATCTTCCCAAAAGCTATAGCCAGATCTGAAGGAACTTTAAAGAGATATGAAGANGCGAGAATTCTGTGCCTAAAGGGTGCTGGCGTTCGACTACTTCTCTTCTCGTACCCCACTGTCATTTGGTAATCATGGCCATGCTTCTATTTCAAATTTTACCAGTCCCAAAAGCCTCATAACTCAATATGAAAATAAAGAACTCTCCAAGTAACAAGGTGTTCAGTCCCCTCGTTCATAACCAAAAATCTTCCCAAAAGCTATAGCCAGATCTGAAGGAACTTTAAAGAGATATGAAGCGTTCATAACCAAAAATCTTCCCAAAAGCTATAGCCAGATCTGAAGGAACTTTAAAGAGATATGAAGAGAAAACATGGCTCCTTATGGTTTAATCAACCATAAATTAAGTGTCTCTTTAGATTTAACCAGCATCAGGCTAGACAGGAATATAAACTACTTCGTAGAACAGACTAAGTGTCTCTTTAGATTTAACCAGCATCAGGCTAGACAGGAATATAAACTACTTCGTAGAACAGACTAGAACTGTCAACTAAGAATTGAATGCATATGGGAAAGAATTGTTGGCAAAGCAATGTAGCTAATTCTTTTAACAGATAAAAGTACAAGCATCAACTACCTAGGGAAAATTTGAACTTAGTGGGTCTCACATTCTTTTAACAGATAAAAGTACAAGCATCAACTACCTAGGGAAAATTTGAACTTAGTGGGTCTCACAATTAGGGTTGTACAGAACCTTCTCAAATTCCAATTCAGCACATGGAATCTCAAATTGAAAATAAAATTCAAACAAGCCCAACAAACAGATTCTTGCTGGCAACTAAATTCATATAAAAATAATAATGAAAATCTCAACAATTATAAATCCAACCAAAAGAAAAGCTGTGTACCTTGAAAGACACCAACCTCTTTCTGGGTGTGAAAGAAAGAGGCATTACAAAGCTAGCAGAGTAACGCGGCAGAGAAGTCGACCTCTTATCCGAGCTTTGAATGGGTGGAAGGCAAGTCTGAATAGAATTGCAGGATGAAGCAAAGGAGGCAGGGAAAGAAGTGGATGGGAAACATAAAGAATGCGAGGAAAATCTAAAAACATCAGCCATTTAGAGACAAAAACGCAGAAATTCTACTTCCAAACACAATCTGTGTCCCCCCAAGAAGAAGATGATGAGGTAAACAGCATGGGGGGAGAAACGAAAACAAACACAATCTGTGTCCCCCCAAGAAGAAGATGATGAGGTAAACAGCATGGGGGGAGAAACGAAAAGGGCAATCGAGAGAGAAGTAGAAGGAGAAGGGTTGTTTATAATTGTGGCTATAATTGTGCGCGTGAATTGGAGAGAGTGCTTTTACGCTTTACACGATTGTAAGGGTGACTGCAACAATTGGTAATCACGTGAATTGGAGAGAGTGCTTTTACGCTTTACACGATTGTAAGGGTGACTGCAACAATTGGTAATCAATCCGCCATTTTAACCCAATCACAGTGCTCTACGGTTTTGCTCTTCCTTGCCAATCATCTCTCGTCTTGTCGGTGATGAGATTTTTCTGCTTTGACCTAACCAACACGATTTTTTTGTTAAGATATCTTTCCTAAATAGTTTAAAAAATATATCTTTAAAATTTTTTTAAAAATAAAAAATATTTAATCCTAAGTTAACGACACCTTTAAAAAATATTCATAATTTTTTAAAATAACATTAAAAAATTATTTAATCCTAAGTTAACGACACCTTTAAAAAATATTCATAATTTTTTAAAATAACATTAAAAAATAATATTTGAAATGTATATAGATGGTTTTGTCCATCCAACGACAGTAACAATTTTTTTTTATATGTATTAATGTTCCTTATAAAATTTGATAATTATTTTTTAAACATGGGACCGATCGTAAAAATATTTTTGAATTTTTAACTATAGTAAAAATATTTTTGAATAATAATAATAATTTTTTTTTTTTTTTTTTAAGAGAAACTTTAAAAGTTTATGATATTCTCATTAATATAGTTCTTAATAAATTATTAATTTAGACAAATCTTTTATAATAGTAAATTTAATATAATTCGTGAAAACTTGATTTAATTCTCCTAAATTTGAATATTCTCCTTTCATATATAATTTTTTTTATTAAAATTTAATATATCTCATAAAAGAAAAAATATATGTATCGTGATAAGCATAAAAGTATTACGTGAAAAATAATATATACTTTCTTTTCGTATGAAAAATTTCATTGATTTTATATTTATTGTTATCATATAAATAGAATTATTGATACCGCCTCGAAACAAACAGTATGAACGAATTAATGAAAAAATAAATAGGCGTGACAGAGGAAGACAGCACGCCTCGAAACAAACAGTATGAACGAATTAATGAAAAAATAAATAGGCGTGACAGAGGAAGACAGCACACAGATTGTGGACAGGGCCCCAACGAACGCTCTGTCAAATCTGTCATTTCTGCTGCCGGCGCTCCTCTGTTCGAACCCTTTCTTTTTTACCCTTCATCTTCTCTGTTCTTTGCATTCTATTCCATTTCCAGAGTCAATATGGCAGAATCCATACCAGACCGGTCCTCTCCCCCTCTTTCATCCGGTACGTTCCCTATCAATCTCCTGATTTTTCCTTTTTCTTTTTTCTTTTTTCTTTTTCGTATATATATATATATTCCCTATCAATCTCCTGATTTTTCCTTTTTCTTTTTTCTTTTTTCTTTTTCGTATATATATATATATACATATATATATGTGTTTGATATCGTCATTCGCGTGATGATTTTGCATTGCGTTTACATTTTCTGAGGATTCTTTGATCAATTTCCATTGGTTGTAGTATACGAGTATTTTGGAATCAATAGGCTAGTGCTAGCAGATTTTGAATTAAAAGTATCCACTTCGAATTTTGCAGAAAATTTGCAGGCAGATGAATCGCCTGGTCATCACCAGGAGACTCATGGAAGACGGGATGATATTGACGAATTTGCAGGCAGATGAATCGCCTGGTCATCACCAGGAGACTCATGGAAGACGGGATGATATTGACGAGAATACCTCGTTGGATGAAGTCAGAGCGCCAAACGTGTTTGAGAGAGTAAAAGAGGAGATTGAGGCTCTGGTTGAAACGATCCACCCGAAGAAAGAGTCACAAATGTATGAAAGGAAGTTTTTATTCACTTATTGTGCAACTAAACTTTTAGGTTATGATTTCATTAACTTTGACATTGGACTTATGTAAATGGTAAAATCAAGATATTGCTTCAATAGGAAACAGTTGACCTTCTTTATAAATTTGTATAACTAGATTTCAATATTTATTGCTAGGTCTCGGAGTTCTTATGTTACTTGATTTTGTGCTTGGATTTAGGAGTTTATGTGGCTGAGTATGCGTTTTCCCACTAGATTTTGGATGTTTGCCGTTGGATCTTATTTAGGAGTTTATGTGGCTGAGTATGCGTTTTCCCACTAGATTTTGGATGTTTGCCGTTGGATCTTGGACGTTTTATAAATTGGTTTTAGGTTAACTTCTAGTTTTATTTCAAAGATGGTCTACTTATTCATGTTCAGAATTCAATTTAATGAAACTAAAATGAGCTTTTCATATATACATATATAAATCCTCGTGTTGTTTTCTAATTCAATTTAATGAAACTAAAATGAGCTTTTCATATATACATATATAAATCCTCGTGTTGTTTTCTGGTCGCAGGGATGAAGCTTCAGCAACGGATTCCATCGAAGAGAAAACAGAGTTCCTATTAGGTGGATTCTTTGTTTCTTATCATATTAGATTTTGCAATTGTGCAGTTGTATTCATATCTTTCTGCTTCCCTCTCTGTAAACTAGCTTATCTTGTTCATAAACAATGTGGACAAGATGGGAGATTGATTTATAAAAAGCCTCTAGACAGAAGTAAAACTTGATAAGTCGAAATAACTATGGAGTTTATCTTCTTCTTGTGTGTTTGGATCAGATAGCACAGCGAAAGCAGCAAAAGTGATAGAAAGAGCAAAGGACGAGATTGAGAAGATATGGCACATTAAGAAGTCAAAAGAAACCCACGGCCAGCGTGATGATATAGGAGAAGATACTCCAATAGATGAAGTCAAAGCTCCAAATTTATTTGAGCGGGCAGCAGAAGAATATCAGGCCCTTATCCAAACGATTCACTCTAAGTAAGAATCTCAGACATGCGATAAAAGGTTTTGATTGATTGGCCCTTATCCAAACGATTCACTCTAAGTAAGAATCTCAGACATGCGATAAAAGGTTTTGATTGATTATTTTTAATTAGTTTAGGTTTAGGTTCAGTAGTTATGGGATGCATTTAGTTTTCTTTCTAAATTATCTCATTTACTGCAATTCTTTTGAAGGAATGAAATTACCAATGCTGCATCAATTCTGAAGGAAGCTATGCCTCTCTCGGGTATTACAGTTTTCAAATTTGCATTCTTAGAGTTCTCCAAAGATGCTGTTTATTTATGCTCTATTATAACTTTTGACCATGGTACTCTGGTTTTTTGAGATCCAACATTGGTTGGGGAGGAGAATGGAGCATTCTTTATAAGAGCGTGGAAACTTCTCCCTAGCAGACGCGTTTTAAAATTTTTGAGGAAAAGCCCGAAAGGGAAAGTCCAAAAAAGACAATATTTACTAGCGGTGGGATTGGGTTGTTACAAATGGTATTAGAGCCTGACACTGGGTGGTGAGCCCCGAAGGGGGTGGACACTAGGCGATGTGCCAGCGAGAACGTTAGGCCCCAAAGGTGGTGGACTGTGAGATCCCACATCGATTGGAGAGGAGAATGAGTGTCAATGAGGAAGGCCCCAAAGGTGGTGGACTGTGAGATCCCACATCGATTGGAGAGGAGAATGAGTGTCAATGAGGACACTAGGCCAAGAAGGGGATGGATTGTGAGATCCCATATCGATTGGAGAGGAGAACGAGGGCCAATGAGGACACTAAACCCTGAAGGAGGTGGATTGTGAGATCTCACGTTGGTTAGGGAGGAAAATGAAGCATTGGACACTAAACCCTGAAGGAGGTGGATTGTGAGATCTCACGTTGGTTAGGGAGGAAAATGAAGCATTCTTTATAAGGGTGTAAAAACTCTTCTCTATTAGACGCATTTTTAAAACCTTGAAAGGAAGCCAAAAGGTTCATACTAATTGGCCACTGGTTCACATTTATGGAAAATCGAAGTAGTTCGTCTAAATTGTTGTACCGACTGATGTTTTCTTAGGATTACTGATGAATTACTTGTTTTATTCTACTGTAAAACAAATATTGTTGCAGCTATTTTGCTTCTAATGAGTTTCTTTGTGCGGCAAATGATGCAGAAATGAGTTCAAATGAGAAAATGCCAATCAATGAAGTGAAGGGGCCAAATATTTTTGAGAGAGCAGAAGATGAAATGGAGGCACTTGTTCATGGCATCCATGATAAGAAGGAAACTGGTTCGCCAGGAAAAGAAGGATTTCTGTCAAAACTGGGAAATTGTTTGGAAATAATATGCTCTCCTTCAAAAAAGAAAGATGATTAAACCCCAAAGCAAGAATTTGACAATCAAGAATGATGGTTTGTT